GAAAAAAAAAAAAAAAAAAAAAAAAAACCCTCAAAGCAGGACTTGGGAAGAAGTAGAGCTGTGAAGGGCAATGGCCAAAGGTCAGAAGCAAGTGTAGCTGAAAGAGAGCTCAAGGTGTATCTACTGCAGGACATCTTCAAGGACAGAGAGGAAGACCACTATACTAGCAGGAGCCTCTTTTGAGAGGAACCGCAGAGCGACCCAGGCAAGGGTGAGGAGGGTGGCTGGGAAGCTTCTCAGGAGACAACCGTGCATTCAGGGATGGTCTCTGGAGCAAGCCAAACCCTACTTTCTTTATCCAGAGAGCCAGGAAGAGCTGAGGCCCTTGCCTCTGAATGTGTACCCGGGGTGAGGAGGTCTCAGAGCCTGGTTATCTATGTAGGGAATTTCAAGCTTCAGTAGAGAAAGAGGTTTCCTTGCACACTCAGGACAGACATGCAGAAGGTCAGAAATGAGACCCAAAGACCAATGAGGCTCACAATGTCACGGAGGCAGCCTACACAGCCCCAGGCCACAGGTGCTATGAACAGGCAGGCAGGCTGGGCAGCAGCTGCTCAGATGACAGACATTAGCAGGCACAGGGAGGACATGCTGGGCCATAACCCTGAGACCAGGGCTCCTCAACTGCACTTAACTTGCTCCGGTTCTCAGACAAGTCACTATATTCTCCGGCTTCAGTTTCCTGAATCTCAGCCAGTACCAAGTTATTAAAAAACCAAGAAACACGCAGAAGCAGTCCAAGAGGGACATGGGTTTTCCATTTCTAAGATGTTAACCAAGTACTCGATGCCTTCGAACGTCACGTGTATCCTCAGGAAAAGTAGCTTATTCCATCACAGTTGAGCCCAAGCTCTCATTTTAAACGATGGCAGAAAGTATGAGTTTGAAGCATTAGTTGAACTCTGTCTTTCCAGTTCTAATTAGAGTCCTCTCTATTACAGATATTTGGAAAAGGAAACACTTAGAAAAAAGAAGCTATCCAGAGAATAAGAGTCTACCAGGAAACCCATGCATTTTTCCTGGTTCCTTTCCAAGCTTGTCTATGTCTTCACTTATCCTCAACTCCAAGCAGAAAAACAAACAAAAAGAAATATTACTCTGACAAAGCTGTGCCATGTGGCTGCCTTACTGGTAAAACAACCTTAACTGAACTCCTTTTAAAGGTTTAGTAACTGTACTCCATGGACGAGGTCTAGAGCAGAATGTAGGCTGAATTCTACTCCTTAGCAAATGTCAGCACTGTCTTAGGTCACTTTCCTTTACATACGGAATTTATGTGGTATAGAGTCTTGCTCATGTGATAAGTAGGACAAGAGACAAGTCACCACAGAGAACCTGCCTTAACTTGGCTAGAAGGACAAGCTAAGCAGAACATGTTATTCCCAGCCTGGGTCAATAAAAGGCGACTGCACACAAATAGAGAGCAGCTGTTATATGTACAGCACATGCCCATCTCTACTGTCTAGTCATTGTGAAGACACATGAAGAACAGTTACTGACACTGACCCTGAGGTATACGGAGGCCGTCTATAAGCCTTTCTCAAGTAAGTCCGAAAGAACTGGCTTATCAAAACATAATGACATCCAAGAGAAGTAAATGCAATACCAAAGTAGTAAACAGTACATTAATACAAAAGAGTAGAAAGGTACCAGAAATAAACTATTTGATAAACATTTTATGCAGCACTTCCACGGTTCCACTGGACACAGCTGAAAAGCACTGTTCTCCAAATCCCTCAACATCTTTTAGCCATGCCCCTTTACAT